ACTTATTAGAGAGTGAAAAACAAATATATAATTAGATTAATACCTAACTAACTTCGTATATTCAAAATTAAATCCAAAACCTACAGCTTTTGAATATCATCTTAATACTAATTTAAAGTAAAATAACTAAAACAAGTTACCTTCGTTAATTAATATTAACGTCAAGGAAATTGGGATACTTGAATACATGAATATCAAGAGAGAAATTCAAACATAATTATGCAAAATTAATATTTCACTTTTGCCTGTAATTAATCACGTCCCCGCTTAAAGAATACTTATAAGTGCACATTTGGCTAAGTTAAGCTTTTAAAAAGTACTTATAAGTAAGTCTAATAAAAAGTAGAGAGAGGGAGATAGAAACCTGGAAAATCACAAAAATCCTTACTTTGCCATGTCTTCCCCCAGCATTCTTGAGCTTCTTTGGAATTCTTGAAACAACAGAAGAAGTTCAAGAAAGCTGTGGAAAAGCATGACGGGATTCTCACTGCCTCTGCACTATCATGCAAAATGATAGAAGAAACCCTTCTATAATAAGGTCAACCTTGTGAACAAAAAATAAGTTAAAATCTTGTTTACTGGTGTTGTTCAATCGAGAGTTCACATACTCCTAACAAGACATGTGCTCCTCCCACTGTGGAGTTAGGACCACTATATAATTCAGCACCACCAATCTGTAAAACTGTAACTTTATAATTCAGCTTTTAAAAAGTACTTATATAAGTAAGTCTAATAAAAAGTAGAGGGACAGAGAGAGGGAGAGAGAAACCTGGAAAATCACAAAAATCCTTACTTTGCCATGTCTTCCCCCAGCATTCTTGAGCTTCTTTGGAATTCTTGAAACAACAGAAGAAGTTCAAGAAAGCTGTGGAAAAGCATGACGGGATTCTCACTGCCTCTGCACTATCATGCAAAATGATAGAAGAAACCCTTCTATAATAAGGTCAACCTTGTGAACAAAAAATAAGTTAAAATCTTGTTTACTGGTGTTGTTCAATCGAGAGTTCACATACTCCTAACAAGACATGTGCTCCTCCCACTGTGGAGTTAGGACCACTCTATAATTCAGCACCACCAATCTGTGAGACTGTAACTTTATAATAAGGTAAGAGAATGAGAGGGGTGTTGGGTAGGGTTGCTTTTCACGTTCTATGTGCAATATACATACAAAACATTGAATGCGTTGTGGGGTAAATGAAAATATTTATAATGATTGTGCAGGAATGGATTTTATCTTTTTCAAAAATTTTAGGAATTTAGGCGAAATGGTCGATAACCTTTGCTCTTCGTGTGTTTTTGGTTCCCTAAACTTTAATTTTGACAGAAACATCCCGAACTTATGCCTTTAGGTGTCCAAATGGTCATTTTGGACAGATTCCATCTATTTATTCTGTTAATTCTTCATTTAATTTCATTTTATTAAAGGGACAAGTTTGGAAGGAAAAGGAAAAATAAAGATAAAGATAAATTGCTTTCATCTTCCACACCAACTAGAGGTGTTAAATGGGATTTTTCTTTTTTAACGAGTAGCTCACATGAGAAATTCACTGATTGGGCATGTCAAGTTGGAAAGTTGTTCGCCCCACTTAACACCCTACTTTTAACCCACCAAAAATCTTAGAAGGCCTCGCATTGATTACAGCCCTTCGTGCTCCAACACTATCCACTCCCTTTTCTACCAATCAGCGAACGACAACTCTCTCGCCCTCTCTTCATGGACCATGTATATACATATATCTCTATTTTTATACCTAATTCTCGGATTCATCAACTCAAACTTGCCCATATACACTAAAAATGCTGAAATCTCACTTCATTGTTAACCCAAGAAAGATCCCAAAATAGCATAAATTATGTGTCTTTTAAGCTTCAAAGCTTTATTTGGGGTAACCCAGAATTTCTTGGGGATTTTCAGAACACAAGGCTTTCTTAATGGGGAGATTCCTTCAGTTTTGTTATAAGACAAAGTTTGTTTCTTTAGCACATAACTATCTTTCGGGTGCAATCCCAGCATCAATTGGTCATTGTAGGAGTTGATAGATTTGGCTTTTAACAGTTTCAATGGAGGATTATCCGCCAATAGAAATTTGGGCATTCCAGGGGTAGTGTACTTATCAATGAGGAGTAATGTGCTAGGGTTTTGCCATTCGTACACCCAATTTCTACACCCTTATTGACACTTGCATTGTTGTAAAAAAGTGATTGGATGAAAGACAATTTTAAACCTTCAAATGACAGTTTGTCATGTGACAAAGTGTAAAAAATGGTGTACACTAAGGTATACACCAAACATGATTCAATTTGATATCAAAAAGTGTTCAAGATAATGTTTCAACACTTCGAATTTTTGGTTCTTTGTGGCAATATGTTCGCCATTTAGGATTCTTAGAGCATCTCTAACACTCTCTATTTTTAAATGGTACATTTTATAATTTAGAGAGTAATTTTTTTTTTTTAATATCCAATAGACTATTTATTTTTAACACTTAATTTTACTACTCCCAAAAAAATGTTTATTAGTTTCCATTATCTTTTATTTTCACTAACTTCCTTTAAAATTATTATATTATTTTTATCAATTGAAGAATTGATATACTTTGCATGCATTTATTTAATTATAGAGAGTGTATTTGACTCTCCAAAATTTGGAAAGTCAAACTCACTCTCTAATTTAAAATTTTAATTTGAAGAATCTCTTATAGTATAATATTAATGGTTGATTTTTCAAAATATAGAACATCTTATAGTTATAGAGTTTTTTAAAGACGTTCTTAGATCAATAAATTTCACATATATTAGTGTTTTAGTTGAATAGAGATTCCCTAGATTGAAACATGTGATGGGAGATTGGAATGTTTTGATGAATGATTTGTGTGGCGAAATTTCTTCAAGCTCGTTTCTCCTTATCGAATCACCATTATCGCCTATCACGACTCACGTATAAAATTTCACTTTCTGAGATGAACGGTGGAAATTGTTGTTGGCTGACGATAATAGGGTGGGGAAGATGAAATCTTTTTTATTTCTTTATTTTTCCTTCCAAGTTTGCCCATGTAATAAAATAAAGGAGAAATCCAACTAATGGAATTTGCCTAAAAGGACTATTTGGGCATCTAAAGGCTTAGACTCGGGTTGTCTTCACCAAAAATTAATCGTTAGGGACAAAAACATATGAAGTGAAAAAGTTAGGAGCCATTTGCGGAAAATCCCTATTTTTTACAACTGGAAAAAAGGAATAAAAAAATCAACATCCATCACATGTCATGATTTGATCTTTCCATCAGGGATGGAACTTCGAACCACTGTTATTCTCTGTATTGATATCCTTGTTCTTGTATTGTCTAAACTTTAAAGCCATGTTTGATAGTTATTATTTGGCCAAACAATGTTAAGAATAGTAGTTTTTAGGAGAATATGTAATTAAAAAGTCAGAAATTTTTTGAATTTGCGTGCAGAATATTTTATATTGTGAATATATAATTAAAAATGAGTATGTAGAAAAAGAATTTTCAAATAATAATTGTCAAATATGGATTATATAAAAAGAAAAAAATTTCCACGTACAAAATACAACTAATAATTACTTAATTCGACGTCTCTAAATTTTTCTTAAAAAGAGATAATAATTATGGAACCCTCTGAACTTTCTTGAATCTTGGTTGGTTTGAGTACTTGTTCAAGAGAGAGTCGAGTAGCTTAAGAAATTACTCATAATCAGCTTGTATAAGTAATTATTAAATGGCAAGAATGCATGGAGATGTTGGTGAGGATAATATATGGAATCGCGCAACCACACATTGGTTTGTCAGAAATTGCATAGCCAATTTGGAGTAGATTACATTTGCATTTGTATTGTACCACAGGCACTGGGCAACATTCATGTGCGGGTGGGGGCGCCGCGCCAACCCAGCGTGCAGTTGCACGGACTCACTATGAACAGGAATCAGCAGATGATAACATGTGATTTGCAGTTATTTGTAATGTTTAAAATAATGTTGAAAAAAATCATCTTATCAAAATGACTATTGAGATGTGACTAAGGAAGTAATGATATTTATCATCATAATTGTGGAAAATCAATGATGTGACAACTCATTATCCTTCACATTTTTTTTCTTCTCCCTCTCTCTCATAAAAATGGAACTGTACAATCTCATTATTCCATATAGAGTATCATATCGTCGATGTTACATCATTATAATGATAAATTACATTATTTTTAATAAGAACCCATTTGATATGACTTTTAAAGAATATGTTTTTAAGATTAAGAAACTATTTTTGAACGAGTTTGAATAACTTTTTGAAGGTGTTTTTTTCTAACAATAAGCGTCTTAAAATGAAGCTAATGTAAGGAAACATTCTTGACAAGCTCTTTTATAAAAAGCAAAAGTGAACAACAAAAGCTTATAGAACTCAATATATGTCTTTAAATAAAAGTACATCGAAGTCTAGACTATCGATTATACTAGTTTTATCGTGATAAATGTGAAGAAATATTGATGCATTACACAAATAGGTTGAAAAACAAGCAAACAAGTAGGTTGAGTAAATCGTCATTTGTCAATTTCCCATACTGAAAGATTCGGTGAGATGAAACTAATTCCAAGCCTGTGAGGTCCATGCAAATAAATTACCCACTAAATACATAGAAAAACTAAAGAGCACCTATTGCAGAAATGTACAACATGGAAAATCCATCAAAAAGTGATCGATTATACTACATGCACATAATAATTTATATAATGGTTTACATACACATGATGTTATGAGATATGATTGGATCGGAATTTTTTCAACAAAATTAAAAAAAAAAAAAAAACTCTTTTTGACACCTCATTTGTATGTAAATCATTATTTAACTCCATTATGTACAAGTAGAATAATTCAAAACGAATACAGTTCAATGGCTTTTTCCAGAATAACAAACTCCGCAGCGTATCCCTTCAGCAAAATCCATTTGCATTTGCAATTCTATCTATAGATGCAAACAATAATTTCTACTTATCCCCACCTCCAAACATACCCATCATATCCTTAGCAGAACCCATCTGCTTCATCAAGTTTTGTAAACCGCCCATGCCTCCAATCTGTTTCAACATCTGTGGTGGAAGGACTTTGCTCATGTGTTGTGCATTCATGTTTCTCGATAAGGCACTCATTTCTCCCTTCTTCGGAATCTTAAGTCCCTTCATCTTGCTCCAAATCTTGGCTAGCCGCTTGTACTCTTCCATCATTTCCATTACTTCCCTAATCCGTCGACCCGAACCTCTTGCTATCCGCATGATTCGCGATTCGTTCATGAGCTTTGGGTTGGAACTATCCAACTCTACAATACGACAGAAATTCATTTGGAAAAATTAATGGACTACTACTCAATTGATTTGAACAAATCCGTCTAGGATAATCTTAGCTAATCTTTAAATGTAAGTGGGATCCAAACATGTCGACAAGTTACCTTTTAACTAAGTAAAAAAGTCACTTGTTTTAAACGTAACTCATCTGACTGTCAAAATCACTAATTCTGTTTTTGATTTAAAAAATAATAATTACTTATCCTGAAACAAATTTATTTACTTATAAGTACCTTTAATCTTAGCTAAACATGCTCTTAGTTGACAGCTATTTGTAATCCCAATGCAACAGGGGAAAACTCACCTTCGTTGGTCATTGAATCCATCATTGTCATGTATCTTTTAAGCTTTGCTTGACTTTCCTTTTCACTGCCTTTTGGCATTAACTCAGAACTAAATCCTGGAAGCATAGAGAATACCTATAAAGAAGCAAGCATCCTAGTTAGCAAATGTCACTTCAACAAAAACTTAAATACCAAGTGTGCAAGCACATGCACCAAGCAGCCTGACAAATGAAGGATCAGTGACATACATCATTATTGAAATTTCCAGTTAATTCAAATGACACATTCCGTGGAAGAGAAATATATAAAAACTTTTCCATTGCCGAAAAACTAAATATGGCGGTCACATACGGAAAGGAAAGAAAAGAAAAACATATATAGCCAGGAAGAACCCAAGTCCACTATGAATATCTTCTGAAATAGAAAGAGCCACATTAATCCATGAATTACCAGGTCATAATAATATTCAATTAAAATAAGTTCTTTTCAAGCCATCTTTTGGTAGCAAGATCAAGCTGTAACATCAAGGCACTAAATTCGAAAAAAAGAGAACAAGCACTTCTTGCAACTTGTAAAGGTTATCTTGTTTATTTCACTATAAAAACTGCATAGAAAATGCTGAATTCCCATGATAATCAGCCAAAATCCATTAAGCAGAAAATGTGATGAGTTAGGGATTAGGGAAGAAGTGGCATATACTGAATGGCAATGATCACAAAAAGTATAAACTAACTACAAAAAAGTAATACAGCACGTATTTAAACCACCAGGAAGTAACAAAGCCAACTGACGGACCTGCCCCATGGGACCCATTTTAAGTATATTCTGAAATTGCTCGTACATAATTCTCAAAGTAAAATTTCCTTCTGAAAGCTTTTGGAGAAGCTCAGGCTGTTGGTCCATCGGAACAACTTCCTGAATTTTGTCCATGAATCCAGACCAGTCGCCCATACCTATAAAAAATTGAAACATTATACATTATAACCCAGACTAGACAAAAAAAATACACAGCATACAGATTATTCTTAATTCGTAAAATTTACACATGAAATAAAGTAAATGGAACAATGAAAAGGGATGCAAACCTAAAAGACGGCTAACAAATGGTTTCACATCAAACACTTCGAACTCATCCATATGTTCTCCTGTGCCAATAAATATGACTGGACTTTTTGTTGCTGCAACTCTGCAAATGATGCAGAAGAACGGAGATATATTTTCAACAAGTATATTACTATAACTTATATTCATGCATACTTGATAAAAACTGGATACATTAGGTGGAACCAACATGCAATTCGAAATCTACTATTTAAAAAATGCTTCCAAACTAGAGAATCTCCACACCAATGCCCTGGAACTTACGCACTAAGAGCACCACCTCCCTTGGCATGACCATCCATTTTAGTAACAATCACGGCTCCAACTGCCACACTCTGCTTGAATGCTTGAGCTTGATCAAAAGCAGCTTGACCAATACTACTATCCATAACAAATATAACAAGATCTGGTTTCTGGAGCATTAGAATGAAGACATTAGCATATTTAAGTCGAAACTCAAAGCTTAAGATAGGAAGGGCGTAGTAAAACATACAGTTGCTTCAGAAACTTGGCGCATCTCTTCAAAGAGAGCTGCTTCTTGTTTGTGGCGCCCACTGGTGTCAACAATTATGAGATCACAATTTTCATTCTTGAATCTTTCAACACCTTCCATTGCAATTCTTACAGGATCTGACTCTGTATAGCTGCCACAGAAAATATGGATTTATTAGCCAAAAGGAAAACATGACAATCAATATGCATATATCAAATAGTTCAATTGATAAATGAAGACAAAGGAACATCAGATGCAGAATCCACTATTAGATTTGAATCAGTAAACACACAAAATAACAAGAGACTCCTTCAAATTAAAAAAATAAAACAGTACTCAAAAACCCAAGAGGCAAAAGGGCTGGAGGAAGCACTACTATGGTACTATGTATCATCTGACCAGCAAATAAAAATATATTATCCTTCCAGCAATTTGAATCCACCTACAACCAAACAAATCTCAGTAAATAGTTCAAGATATACCCCACTCCCTTTGTCTACCACTACACCACCTCCCAATGTTACTGGCTAAAAGGAATTAAAAGTGCAAATATGCATTAATCAAACTTCTTTCACTCTGCTTACCCAATAAAAATAAAATGCAGATAAGATTTCCCTTCTAAGTTCTAAAAGTATCATAACTAACATACATACATTCCACATGACTAACTGAACAATAAATTAAGCACTCCTTGTTCATCTATTACATATTTGTATTACAAATACAAATTTTAAAAAAATTTGGTCATCTAAATCATATAAATTTCAACCTTTCTTTCTATGTACAAAACTATATGGTGGCCCTGATACTGTATCAAATGACTCCATGTGCAAAAGAAATTAAAGCAGCAAAAACAAAAATTCTCAACCTCTTTTCTCAGGTAACTAAAACAGAAAATCGGGACCTCTGTTACTGAAAGGGGTAACAAGAGAATTGTTGTAAACCTAGAGTCGCAATATATAACGAATTTTCAAGAATCAGTCTAATATCAAATCAACAATATGTGAACCTCATGAAGAAACACAGTCATTAAAAGATTTGAACAGAAGAAGACCTTCCATAAAACGGAATTTTAGCTTTAGTGGCATTTTGCTTCAACTGGTCAAAAGCACCAGCTCTAAATGTATCAGCACAGACCAGAGCTGGTTTCCAGCCTTTCTTCTGATGGTAGTATGCATATTTTGTACACGTGGTTGTTTTCCCAGATCCTATAATCAAGTACAGCAATAAGTACATCTATTTTCTCAAAGATAACAAAAAGCTCCCAGGGTAAGAATACAACACGATGAGCATTTATAATTATGTCCCAGATCAATCAACCATACGCCTTGCAAAACTATTTAAAAAGATAACAGACTTACCAGCTCAGACTAGATAAAATAGAACCCCCAAAATATGGCATGACATGAATTCAAAGTGACCAATATAGTCATTCAGGAATACATACATACCTTGCAAACCGACAAACATAACAACACTCGTTTTCCCTTTTTTGGGAGTGAATGAAGGCTTTCCGGGATCCAAAATCTTGCAAAGCTCGTTAAAAATAGCCTACAGAAGAGACATTTTCAGACTTCATTTTTTAATCCAGGCGCCACTCAAAAATCACAACTAGAATGTTCTCAGAGACAATTTTTTTAAAGCCCTGTGTTGAATACACCATCTAAGCCTAATTTTTTTTACTCAAATTTCAAAATTCACCTTCAGTTAAAAAACTAAAAAAATAAAAATTCCTCAATCAAAATTCATTCCTCTATTTTTTAAATCTTTTACCTGTTGGATGATTTTTCGCTTATTGTGGCCCGCAGCTAGGTCATCAAGATTGACGATTTTCTTAATATTGGTCTGCATATCGCGGACAAGTTTGAACTGTACATCGGACTGAAGGAGCGCTCGTGTGATCTCATTGAGACAGTCGTTCAGAACCTTCTCATCAATGATCGTCGCATTGCTCATCTGCTGAAGAGCCCGCGATATACTCCCTCCTAATTGCGCGAGCACCATCTTGATTGATATGTGTTATATCTGCTAATTGAATCGTTTTGATTGATGAAATTAGGGTTCGGCCGTTCGGGTTTGAGGGGTTGAATTTACGAGGAGAAGAAAGGTTTAATCGGGAGATTCACCAGAGGTGGAGGTGGAAATGGTGACCAAATGAAACGTGTGTGCAAGGAAAAAAGGCTGGGCTTGAGACGTGGGCTTCAAGTTTGGGTCTAGTAGACGGGCTAGGCCCAACTCACGACAATGTTGGTAGGCGCGTTTTACACGAAATATGGACAATTGTTAATTAATAGAGAAAAGAGGAAATTACACGTACACCTGTTTTTAGATTTCCAATTTCACAAATAAGATTTCAAGTTTAACATTTCAAAAATCAGGTTTTAATTAATATTTTTAAAAACATTTTTTATTTTTAATTTTATATCTATATACAATAAAATCATTTTAAC